TGTCACCAGGCCGGAGAAATTCACTACCACTAAAGGGCAGGGGATTGGCCCCTGGTCCACACTTGTTGTTCAGGAAGGGCACCTGCTTGGGGCTGGAGTTCCTGCTTGTAAAAGGCCAGGGCAGGGCAGGGAGGGGAGGGGCAGGGGACCTGAGGGCCAGTCAGTCCCAGGGTTCGGGCACAAGTTTCTTCACCTCCACTGTGGGGCTGTCACGTGTGCAAAGGTGAAAGAAAGCCAATTCTGATATCCGCACAAAGGCAGCCACTCATTGGAAAATCATTTTTCGGGTCCCACTTCCCACAGGGATGAGGTGCTCTCCACTACTACGTGTCCTGAGCACAGAAATGACTCTTATCACTTAGGCTGCCCAGGAAAAAGTCAACAGACTCACATGCATCATGGTGACCAGGTGACAGGGGTTGAGCAGGTAGATGACGGTCTTGGTGGCGAACTTAAAGCCCACCTCCACCCCGAAGGTCAGGCACAGGGCTACTAAGAGCAGATTCTTGCTCAGGCTCTCCTTGCCTTCCTCTGGCCGCTGGGTCACCTGCTCTGGCTGGCTGCCACCGCCACCCCTACCGTCCTCCTTCGTCTGCCTCAGGATGTACCGCAGGGCCACCAGGATCTCCAGCAGGGCCAGGGTGCAGGGCCAGGACCACCACACTTTCCAGCAGCCGCTGCTGCCAAGAGAGGAAGGCAGCACAGTCGGGGCCCCCATTGCCCGCAAAACTGGGGTCCACGCCCCCATAGAGCCAGTCCAGGAGACTTTGGTAGCTATACCGGGACATGATGCAAAGTGGTTCTCCTTGACCACCGTGTAGGAAGCAAGAGCGAGATGGAACACGAGCCCAGAGGGGTGCCCGGGTGGTGGAACATGTAAGGAGGGCACACCCCCGCACCCCCCTCCAGACACAGGGGCACCTAGAACAGGAGAGGGGAAGCTACACGCGAGGCCCGGGGTAAAGTGCTGGCTCTAACTTGTCCCCACGGCTGTCTGGGGAGCCCCCCGCTTCCCCATGGGCCCCCAACGGGGGAGGGTTAAAAGGAGCCGTTGGCCAATCTAAAAGGAAGGAGAGGAAAAAAAAAAGGTCTCAAAGAGGCAATTGCATCGGGAATTACAAAGCAGGGAGGGGTAACTAGTGAGGGAAGAAATGGGGAACCCGGGCAGAGGGGTCAGGGGATGGCGGAGGCCGAGAGGGTCAGGGCGGGGGCCGCGGGGACCGGGCAGTGCCGCGGGAGCGAACCTGGGGGCAGAGGGGGTGAGAGCGAGGGGACACGCGGAAGCCAGGAGAGGAGCTAGCGGGGACCGGGCAGGCGGGGAGGGCGACGGGGAAGGCAGGGACGCCGGACTCCTAGTCTCACGCCCTCGCCACAGGGGGATCTCTTACTCCTGCAACCGCGTGGCCGTCTCT